TATATATATATATATATATATATATATATATATATATATATATACTAGATACAACTTATTTCATACTTCTATACCTTGGTATGTGTGGCATAATCAGTAATTGCTTGTTTTTTTCCAACAATGAGGCTACTAAGCTTTTTGACACAGTCAGTTTTCATTCATAATAATTTCAACTTGTATTTACAAAATGCTGTTACTATCTTTTCTTAAATTTATGAATTGTACGGTGGCATAATCACTGATCACGTTGTATACTAGCGAACACAGCAAAAAAATTTCATTCAAGTGTTTTGGATTAATCTCTGTGCATTTTGTTTGTTATACTAAAGCTACCAAAGTAAAGGAGCAAGAAAATTGAACATCTGTTCTGAAAAGATCAAATAAAATCTGTAACTAATTAATTATACCCCTACTAAATAACTCCATCCTAATAAGTGAAAAGCGGATAAAACAAAATTTGATTTTCATGTAGTTCCTTTCAATTTGAATTTTTAATACATTTTCAAGGCAACTTTTTCGATATAATAGCAACCCAAAACGTAGTAACAATAATCGGTTCTGAAGATGGATAATTGTGGTGACATTTGAGTCTTCAGGTACAAAATCTACACTTTACGTTATGAATTAACGCTATAAATATGAATCACAAAGGAAAGTCTTTATGACTCATAATGTTAATTAGCTTGAAATCGTCTCGCTACCTATCACGAAGATATTTAAAACTTTTAAACCTTTAGAAAATGTTCTCAATCTTCAAGAAACGAACAAATTCATGTATACGTTCATCACGCGCAAACATACGTGTATTGTCATAGTTGTTAAGTAAACCTACAGGATGAGTTAAACAAGGCAACTGAAGTATGTACAAATGCATGCGTCAAAAGACTCTGAATAATAGAGCGCCTGCATTCTGCATGTTAGCTTAGCATAACGAAAGTGCCAGTTGATTCCACATATTCTTAAAATTATGTTTTACTTGTTACTGTGTGATTGCCGAACAACTATAAATCGGATTTGATACTTCCCTTGCTTTTTGCACTTTCGTTTGCAATTTCGTCTTTTTCCGGCTTTTCGTTTTCATCATCAACTGACTTGTTTGGCTTCAGTTTTGGACCTTTCTTCATTTCTGGGACCTGAAATGCGAATTAACAATGCAGTCCAAAAGATGTAGCAAAAAAGAAACTACGAGTAAAGAGGATAATTTCTAAACAAGAAGTCGGAATTTTGGGGGTCATTCTGGCCACAGAGACACAGAGCGAATTAAAGTTTTTGTTAATTTAACCACAAGAATTTGGTAAGAGCGAACAGAAATTGAAGCCTAAATGTTGTTGTTTGTAAATATGATTTGTTGGTATAGCAATACTTCAGGTATTTTTAAAATACAACAAAATGTAAAGTGAATATGTCAAAAATGTCGTTATCATTGAAACAATTGTTTGGAAGGATAGTTACTTTTGCAATTAATTCATCAAAAAAGACTGGCCCTTTTGCACTGCTGAGACGAATCTATCAATTATGCTGGTACTTAAACAAAAGTTAGTAACTTCATTTCTTTAGTATCCTCATTCAATTATTTTTAATTCAACTGGAGATTTATTAAGTCAATTCAATTTTTTACCAATTAACGAAAAAACTAACATCAATATTGTAGTACCGCATCACATCCTTCATTGAATTGAGTACATCTGCCGGTGAGGAATAGTAATATGCATAGTTCTTATATTCTGCTTTCTTATTCTTAAACTGTGATAACAAATCACCATTTTTATCTGAAATGATACAAAACGCTTGTGAGTTGTAAATTTCAAATGAATGAAGAAGAAATCAACAGAGTGGTTGATTATGTTGAACAAGTCCCGATACAAATGCTGCATGAGTGAAAAATTGTTGATGACTCTCAGATCTGAGTTTTACAACCTAAAGGATGATATTTTGTATCTTCTTCCAGTGGATCAACAGGAACTCTATTTAATCGTCATAGCATCAAAAAATGACCGGTCTTAATAGAAGAGAAAGATTTATTCATGTATCGCGACTCAATCTTCATTTCACTAAATTTCCTCTTAGTTTTTACATCCCAAACTTGAAATATTTTTGCTTGATTTTCTATTTTTGAGGAAAAAGTTGACATTATGATAAAATCATTCTCATGACGACATTTTATTCTCAAGAAATTGCTATCACCAAATTCAGTCGGGACAAAAAAATTTGAAAATTAAAAAAGAACAATCTTTTCCATTGGATTTTTCGCATGTTAGCTGACCTGATTAGTATGAAACAGAGCTCATAAAACTCTTTACTGCAGAACAATTCCATTTAAGAAAAAAAAAAACTTCACTTTGGCCTTTTCAAGGTATTACTGTCTGGCCATAGTACAATTCATTCATTAGAATAAGTCTTTCAAACAAATTTTATCAGCTTGCGAAACGTGTTAATTTTGTTCAGATAAACAATTCGCCTTACGCGTTGCCATTTCTTGCCACTGCAGTTTGGACAGGTCTTCAAAAAGAGTAATATTGCTTACCGAGGAAAAGAACACGTGGGATATATTTTCCATCTGGTCTATATTCTTCTTCATACGGTTCTTCGTCATCTTCCGTGTTTACCATAATAAAATATTTGGAGAGTGTTTTAAAAGCCTTCCGGGCATTTGACTGTTGGAATGTCTTTTTCAATGCTAAAATAAAACCAGTCGGTAGTGCAATTTGCTAAGCACAGTTAATCCCTTGATATAACTCTAAAAACAAATAAAATCATACATGTCTTCCTGAAAATGAAAAATTTGCTGAATTGCGATTCCAGTTGCTTTCCTTGTTCATATGCCGAAACTTCGCCTCACTTTAGCATACAAAAATCGGGTGTACAGTTCACAATGTTTTCTTCGCATATATCACATAATGTATTTGTCAACTACCAAATTATCGGGATAAAAAAAGTGAGACCGGATAGCCTGGAAGGTGTAGAGAAAGAGAAAAGCCAACCTTTGCATGCATGACACCACGATTTGTGTACCAATAGGAATATCGGTTTGTTTACTTCCATTGCCGTCTCCACAGCATCCTCCCATTTCACCCAGTCTATGTCTTCACCAAAACCTCCAAAATATCAAATAAAAAATTAATGAGTTAAAGCAAGAACTTACAGGACTGTAACTCTCATATCATTCGAACCTGTAAGATTGTGAGTCTTTGAAGATATAGCGGGCTATTTTATAACAACATTACGATAAAAGCATTCCATAGCCGTTTGGTGTTTCAGTCAAAATTATAATAGAAATATTCGTGGGATTACTGCCCGACCTATGCACTAACCGTGTGAGAGCGGATTTTGGTAGATTTGCTTAGCATCGAATATGGCATATGTGTTTAAAGAAAGCAGTAAGAGGACGATAGTATTGAAAGAGATAGAAGCGACAGAACTGAACATCCCACGAATCGGTATGATTGTAGTAAGAAGGAAGAATGGTGTCTGTCAATATGGTAAATGTCCCCACGCGTCGCCGACCCATTTCTGCGATCGGTTTTTTCCTCCTTCTTCTGCTCCTCCTTCCTTTGATCAAGCATTATTTCATCAGAGAATATTGATAATATGATGGCATGCGGTGTCTACTAGTCCTCCATAAAGGAACTCGTTTTCTCTTGATGAGACAGAAAGATACACCATCAAAGATAAGCATTGGCAGGAGTTAAAAAGTTCAACTTATCTTAATTTAAATATTTAGTTGTATTTAGATTTATCATTAATATTATGCTGCAAAGCGTTAAACGATTATTTTTCAACTTTACTATGAGAAAAGAGGAGTAAATGCGAGTGATAAGATCATCCAAATGATATTTGTTCTACCATAAACGCCATTTAGAAACATTAACGATTATTGACATTGTAATGTACTACAATATATTCTTTGGAATTTCAAATTAGCTGGAAAGAGACCATGAAGTACTGACTTTAACTGGTCTAACCAACCGCAATTATCAAAAACAAAGCAGATGGTTGACCATGTTGAAATATGGTGAATTAAGTTGACCATGTTTCACAAGTAACTTAAAGGAAAAATGGATACGGATATGGTTATCACAAGAGTGCTGCTACCTGAAAATCCTTACGCAGAAAGTTGAATGAAGAAATAAAATTCTAAATCTGCAGACCCAATGCCGTTCCAAATATACACAAGACATAAAGGTGAAGTGTTGAGTTAAAGAAAAAAAAAACAAAAGGTAGACTAATTATAATTTCAGATGACTTAATCGATCATCTATCGAATCGGATTGGTCATTTTTTTAAAGCTTATCGTCTAAACAGACTTTGATAGTGAAGCCAAAGTAATGGTTTTTTTTTTTTTTAATTTAAAGCCAGTAGCATTACTTGATAAATAAATGTACAAATCCACTGTTCGAACGAATCAACTACAAAGGTTTACTTAATTTCTATTTAATTAGAAACTTACTTCTGTTGAATTTATTTTAAATGATTTTTCAGACTGCTCGACGTTTTATTAGGTTGCACACATTAAAAAGAAATTACTGGATCTGTTCTAATTTATTACTGCCATTCATTGGTTCTAATTTCAGATTACCGATTTTTGCTTCTATCTTCAGCCATAAAGTCCGAACTCCAAACTTTTCAGACTATAAGTACTGAACAAATTATAGCATAAATTGTGTGACAATCATTTCAATAAAACACTGAAATGTCGTATTAATTCTTCCCACATTGCTTTTTATTAAAGTTTGGTTCTTGCTCTTTTGGAAAAGAAGAGAAAAATTAAATCAAAAATGTTTGTTTTGAGAATTATTTCTGATAAATACAAATTTGATTTTATCTAAAACAAAACGATACATTCACTGTATGATTTCAATTCTTCTCTTAATCTGTTATATCCACCTTCCTTGTTCTCCCCAAATTCCTTCATGTAAATTTTCTTGTGATACCGATCTCATGCTCCAAAAACTGTAATAAATAGTTTAGTTAGAATTCATTTCACAGGGTGCCAAAGATTCGAAGTTTTAGTTGAAAACAATTTTAACTGTTTTAGCTTTTTTAAAATGATCGAAAAGAGAAGGCACAATTACGGTTCTTTGATTAAAGAATTGACTGATTTATGCTTCATAAATTACGAAATATTTTTTGAAGATACATCTTAATTTAACATTAAAATAACTTGGATTTAGATGATGCAAGATGAATGATGAATCAATGAGTAGTAGTATGTGCCCGAAAACACCACTGCATGCTAATTTTGCATATTTGAATAATGGATTAAAATTCAGAATTTTATTTTTTTTAAAATAGAAAAACGGCTTTGCACCAAAATCTAACATTGTTTAATTATTAAATCAAATTTCTCCGAAAGAAATGACTCATTTGTCCTTATGAAATCTTTGGTGAAGATTTTGTGGGGCTTTTTGTTCTTCCCTCAAATTTCGACTCAGTTTTCAAATATCTTAACCATTTCTTTATGTTTCCTAAGCCATTATAGTCTGACTTTTTTCTTAACTGTAATAAATTTGAAGCAGTTAGTAGAACACGTAGTTCATTTTTTTCCTTTTTTTTTGTATATTTTTCATTAATTTTCGTCTCACTACATCGAGGTACCTCCGAGTTTTTTACCTCCACTGCTTTTCATTAACAGTTATTGCTTGTTAAATTTCTACGCTCGTCAAAGTTTAAATAAAATATTTGGGAGAGAACTTTTAGTTTTTCCAATATATCATCTCTTCGCTATTGACTTTTTCTTCAGTGAGAAAAAGATGAAAATAAAAAACATTGAATGTAACTTATGAAAAGATATGTTGAATTTTAAAAATGTTTATGCAGTCCTTCTGTTGCGTCCATTTTTTTTTTCATATACTTTTGCATCTATCGCAGTAAATGCAACTGCAATGAAAATTGAACTTCGATCCTCTAATGAACTTTCTAGTAACTTTTCGAAAAATGAATAGTTCACATAGTGCGGTAAATGATATATTTCAGGAAATAGCATTCTACTGATTTAAAATGATAACGAAAAATTGACAAATACTTCAATCCAAAGCCAATAGTTAATTTAGAAATCGAAAAGTGCTTAATGCCTAAAACTACTGTCTACAAAGAATTTCGTATTTCTCACGAATTAAATCCTTATCGCTTTTCCTTCATTTGGTTTAAACTATGTCTTACTTATTTTGCGGAAATTTCTTATGATGAGCGCATCACATTGCATAATTACATGTAAAATGACTCGTATCCAAGCTAATTTTTCTACTTTTCACTTGAACATTGGATATATCAAGAGACATCTGTAAGAAAATATACTACTTGAGTAGCTTATTTATAGATTGAAAGGGTTTTAAATCTTCTGAAGTCTTTTAAATGGCACAACTACAATCACGAGGCTTGTAACGATTTCCACATCAGTGCAAGACAATTTAGCCTCAAGAATTACTAAATGAATCCTTGAATAACTGTGGAAATTTCTGAATGCATTCTCATATCCATGTCTTAATAAAAGAAAGAATACCAATAGTATGATTTAATTTTTGTTTTGTAATAATAAATATGCCTTTACTTGTTCACCACCGGTGATGTTCACAGTACTGATGATCGGTCTCTCGTTTAAAGGATAAAAAAAGAGTGAGAAGTTTCAGCATGATTGTTCCCGGAAACTAACCCGATTTATAATCTCTATAATCGTTCTTGCATCATTATAATGTGATCGTATTCTTGGCTGCGCTATTATTAATGTAAAAATCTCACTATCAATAGGCGGTAAAATCGCAGTGGATAGAAGTGACAGGATATGGAAATGAATATGAATGAGGAACAAAACAATGAATCATTTACTGACTTCTATAAAAGTATACTTTTTACATTACATATAAAATCGAGGAATTAAAATTCAAAATTTCGATTGCTTGGCTTGGCATTATCTGTTGTGATGGATGTTTGCATCGAAAAATTATAGCATTGTAACATGCTTATGGATTTCCCAGCAAGCTGTTGGTTTGTTTATTGTAGACTTTTTTCACATCAAATCAATAGGGAAGTGGGTTCATTTATTTCTCGATTTAGTCTGATCTGCTAGATCAAGAAGTTTTATTCTTTAAAAAGGAATGTTACTATTAAAAAAACCGGTATATAAGAATGGAATATTTGCTTCTCCTAGGATTTCACAGTCGATTTTTTGGACTTTTCAAATCTTCACAAAACTCTCACTTAGGTTCAGGAATACCAGAAGTGAAAGTTATAATGCATGGATTTAAAATGGTAAATTATCTTACTGTTCTCATTGCAAAAATGGCAAATAGTAGTGGCCTCCCAATTGGAAAAGAAGTTTAACATTTAATAAGACTAAAATATTTTATTCTTTTTATTCAACGCACCAAGGCTATTTCCTTAGCATTTCTAAGAGCCAAAACATCTGTGAAGAACATAAGATATCTTTCGAATGCTGATCACATTCATCAAAAGGGCGTTAGTTGTACATGTATTTTTCGAAATATTGTATTGCATTTGCTGAATTTTAATTCACAATATTTTTTGGATTTTTAAACTTGAATCTTTGCAATCTAACTTCTAGGTACCTTGGATAACTGCTATACGGTTAGACATGATGACTTTTTTTTCGATTTTCTCAACCAACCCATTAGTAAGATCATGCGCTATTTACAGATTAGTTGGTGGCTTATTTGCAGCATTATTTATGTTCACCCACAGGAAAATAGCTCTATTCTGCCCAAGCAGCAACATCTACAGGATGATTTTTAGGAAAAAGTACAACTTTAATTGTTTCGAAATTTAACTTTTCATTTTCATTTCCAGTTCAAAAAAAAAACTTTATCTCTCGCAAATTACCTTAATTCCCTTAAGTGTCATTTTTTAACTAATCTGTATCTTTCATCTGGTAGCTATTTTCTGTCACATCCATTACAGCTTTTTTGCTTTTACAGTTTTTATGGCGTTAGTTAGTACACTCACTTATCCGGAAGGTTAGGTCATTATATTGCTGGACAAATAAGTCTTCAAAATTTTTTCGTTTTTAAGCTAATGTTATTCATGATTACTCACATACGAAAATTACTGATATGATCTCTTTTTCAAATATGCTAAATATTTGTTGGCTTTGTTTTTCTAGTGACAGCTTATCATCGTTTGCAAATTCTTTTTTAGTTTGTTAGAAAAGGAGTGCTTCGATTTAGCGAATGTCTAAATTATAGTTTGCAAAGTTACTCCACAAATAGTAGTACTTGAATTCCAAACCTTAGCCCCGACCAGGAAATCAATTTTCGAATTTCATATTAAAGCATTTTGTATTTTTATTAGTAAAGTTTGCGCAATTGGCTGATCAATTTTGTCTTAATGAAACTTCCTTAGTTATAGGCGCGGAATATAATAAATGTACTTTTATACAATATCAACATCAATAACTGTCTATACTTTATAGTTGATATTCGTATTTTGTCACCCTCAAAAACGGTTTTAGTTGATTTTTGGATCTGCTAATATCATCTTAATCGTTACATTGTACTTGAACAAAAATATAAATATGTGTTCGATGGCTGATTTTTCCAACAACTCTCTGTAAACAATCGTGTAATCATTTACATAAGTCTCGCTTTCACACATGTCAAGCACTTTTATTTTCAATTCTAATAAAATTAATGCCAAAATTTGCTGCTGATATAATCTTATGAAAGCTCTTTCTTGACTAATGCTAGCATATCGCACAGTATCTTAAAATGGATTTGATATATCGAATCAGTATCATCTGTCACGAGTGATAGTTCCGGTGACGATGGAAAATTTCAGTTTTTTCTAGTGTCAATTTGTACCTTTCTTTGTAATTGGAGCAGTCAGAAGTCATTTGAGTGGTGAAGCAACGGCACTTTTTTTTCCAGAAAGTCTTCATGGAACGAATGGATCACTTATTTCTCATGAACTTTATTGGGTTATTAATACCTGCAAGAGTTTAATTTATCCTAAATCAATTCTTCAGTTAATTATTATTATTTCAGTTTCATTCTTCAGTTAATTATTAGTTTCATTTCTGTGGTGAACCAAGCTAATGTCGAACTTATTCCTTTTATGAAAAGATTATCACGGACAGATAAGGTTTTCTGAAGTGTCCGACAAAAATATTACTCTAGGTATAGCAGCTTATACAAGTGCAGTATGACATACACTTTCTATAACCGTAATTATATGCGAGTTTACGGGGGAGCTTACTCCATTACTATCTGTTCTGGTATGATTTGGTTCCATTAACTATTACAGTTGGTAGGCAATTATTTTTCATAGGGATACCAAACAAAGATTTATCAGCTATAGAAGTAATGAAAGAAGACGACTCAAAAATCAATTATATCTTCCGAGATAACAGGTAGAGGGAAGATAAAGTAATGAGAAAGAGAAACAGTTTAAGAAATATAATAAATAGCCGTAAGATAAAAAAAAGAAGCACATCGTTCTTTTTCCAGAAACAAATGATGTAACCTCGAAGAAGTATTAAAATTTTGAATAAGCAGGTAGCAATGTTGGTGGGTAAAGCGGTACGCAAATTTTTGCAACCTTCTATTTATGAAAGTATTATTCGAATCAAAAATATCCATATTCATCGGACTTATCGTCTTTCCGAATCAGATTATTCTGAATCACAAATAAGTGGATTTCTATAAGACTCAGAACATAAATATCAGAACGCTATCATTTAAGTATCAAATGATCTATCAGTCTGACACTCGATCAAACAGCAAAATCCGAAAAGAAGCTCATAGTGGAAACTATTAAGCAATTACTTTTATGCATTCATTAGATGAGATTTTAATGGAACTAGATGATTACATAATTTAGAAATCAATACTTTTATTTCCATTCAAAATTTGAATTCATTTCCATCTTCAATCAGATTTTTGATACTTTCAAATAAAGCATTGGGTATGGATAAGTTTTTTCTTTTATAATTCCTTTTTCATTATCATTGTAGTGATTAAACATTCGGCAGCATTCTACATCCATTAAAACAGATACCAAATCGATGATATTTTCGAAATGAAATGAGCTTGTGGACGGTCACAAATTTCACTTACTTTTTTCTTGTTACCATACAAAAATTCCCATTTTTATTTGTGAAATCCTTTTCACTTTTTCCAACTATGAAAGTATAAACATTATACTGTGCACATAGTAAAAGTAGAACAGATTTTATTTATATTGCAAAGTTGGTGGCTTTATTATAAAGGGCTTTGCGAAATACTACACTTTGTACCAACACTTCAAAGTTTTCCTGTTGTTACTGATCGAAGAAGGTTGTCTTTTCTCAAATCCTTCTACAACTTTAATTTTTTCCTGAGAGTAGTTCAAATGAAAAGTTCTTCTACAGTTGTTGCACTAGAGTACCAAAATTGTTTGTATTGGGTGAGTGGCGTACACATAGTAGCTTTTATAAAACTATTTCACATAATCAGGGCACTTCATATAATTAGTTCTTGAATTAAGGATTATTTGATGTGTTTATAGAATTTGAATTTGACAAATTTAGAATATAAAGTGTTACCTAGATTTGTAGCAAAAAATACTTGGTAGTAATTATAAGGTGACAATTGATCGAGATGAATTCAATATTTTTTCTAATGAGAGGACTTCTGTTAAGATTTTCAACAGCATAAAAAAGGTATTCTTCTTGTTTCCTCATGATCTAACTTTTCAAAAAACTTGTATTATAAATTATTGCACCATTTTGTTCTTTCCAAAATATTTTCTTTGTTCAAAAGAAAATATTTTGACATTTAGCTAATTTCGTTATCAGCTACCAGTCTAATGAGCTGGAATATTGCTATCACTGTTCTATATCACCGTTCTTATTTTTTTACAGTTTGACACTTTTTTCTATGGGAAATACATAATTTATTCCAGGTCTTCATTATGGTTACCTAGAAAACAGCCAGGTCATCCAAATGAAGGAAATGAGACCGCATCATTGGTACCAGATGCCAAAGAGAATTTGCCAGACGAAGGATTGATTACTGGAAATACATTGCTCTCAATTTCACCTCTTCGTGCCTCCGTGGTTACTCGTTTTTTAATCTTTTGTTTGCTTTCTATCACAAAAATATCAGTGGATTATTTTCAGCTGCTTGCTGATGGAATTTTATAGCAGATGCCACCTCACTCGGAATAGTTCAAGTTCTCGAATTGAAACTTTTATTTTAGCCTAGACATTTTCATGTTTGGGAAAGAGGAATTCCCAAATGATACATAATGTTACTGAGAAAGGTTACAAAGTATTGTATGTCCACTTTAGCTGACACTTCGGAATAGCAAATTAAACTAAATGATTGACATGGACATCTCTAGTAGATGCAATTAATAAACAAGCACTTTCAGCCTTGAAATTTACAACTTACCTATGCTGATTAAACTAGCCAATACTTTTCGTATTCGATACCACTAAAAGTATTGATTAGGTTGATACCAACTTATTAATGCTATAAGTAAAATGATTACAATACTTAAGGATATGATATTGAGTTAAAGCATTATATCTTGGTTTAGGCCACTAAAAGTTCTTGCTTTCTAATTTGGAAAAATACACCAAATCATTTTTTTTAAAAAGAATTCAGGATTTTTTGGAATTGGTCGTTGGCTTGTGACCATGCCATACATTGAGAAGGATATCCCTAACCGTGCTTATAAGGCATTTCATTGTTGATTTTTATTATTTGAAGTGGAATCATCCCCAGTCCATGTATTCCTAAATTTGCTACTCATCTAGAGATTCTAATTCATAACAACTTTGTCATGATATAAATCATTATAAGAATTGTTGAGAAGAAACCCAAAATTTATCATTATAAAAAGACAAATCAGCAGATTTTGGGAATATTAGTTGTCGAAAATTCCGCATCAGATAAATAATAGGTAAATGACCTCGAACCTCGAGGACAAATGCATTTATGAGTTCACGAAGAGTGCATTTTCCGCCATTGTTCACATCTGGCTACATTAAATCATATTTTCCTTTCACTTCAGCATTGCAACCCCAACCTGCAGTTAGGTTTTTTTTTCTACTTGACTGCAGTTAGCTTTTCATTGACTCTTTTGGTCAATATTTTAGCAACTGCTTTTATTTCATGAGATGGAAATGGCATCGACATTTTCAAATGATATTTATTTGGAGATATATCTTGTTGGCAAATTTATGACAAGTGTATTTCGAAACTTTGGCTTTCAGGTTTGCCATTATCAGCGATATTTGTAAGACCACAGCCGATGAGCTGAAGAGAAGGTCAAAGAACACATCCTGCTAGATCAAATTGTATATCTGAATGAAGCGGTTATCGATTCAACTCCGTTTTAACTTGCTATACAAAGTAAATGTTAATTCTTTTTTCTGCAATAATGGCAACTAATTAATTTCTCCCAAAAGATAAAAACAATTACTAATAGTTGGATTTGTTTCTATTTTGGGAATAGGTAAGATAACAGAGGTCAGCTCTTCAAAGCAAATGTAAAAAAGTTGCAACGAACTGGTTCACGAAGACTATAAGGTCTTTGTGAATCAATTCGTACCAGGGACCATAAGGTCTTTTTATGGACGAAAAATGAGAAGATCAATAGTTAAAAGTGTTTTAATTCAAAGCGAACATCAGGTACATACGCTGTTCTCAATGTTGGCTCTATCTCACGCATATGTTACCGGTCGCGGGTAACTAGTTGGTGTTATCACTTTCAAAGAGGTGCTTTTTTTCCTCTAAATGTTATTCAACAAAACAGTTTGAATCGAAATTGTTTACTTTTGTAATATTTCTACTCGATGAACTTTAAATCATTATCACTTTTTATGTCTTATGGGCTCATGGACAAAAAAAGAATCCTATTAATGTTTGCGTGAGGCACGAAGGGAAGTTTTGATCTCTTGGCTATTAGAGCCGTATCTTCCAGTGTAGAATATTCAAATTCCACTTATTTCTACAAAATGGCATTCATCGCCCTGTGGGATTGGTTCAGTTAGACAGGGAAAACTACGACGTATACTCTGAATTTCAATCAAAGAACGAACATTTTAATCTCATATCAGCTACTCAATCACTAAGTCTGTCCGACCACTCTATTTGGCGTGTTGTTGAGGAATACATATAATTCGAGAGCCAAGCAATTTGAAATCCAGTAATTCGAGGGTCTAGCAATTCGAGAGCTTAGCTGTTGCATGGATGTTATCGTTAACCCGTTACTACAATCATTTGAAAAGTTCCACTGAGTAGTCCGGATCATGGTAAAATTTTAGTGATGAAATTCAAATGATTGTTTTGAAAATTTACAGTTACGTAATGCGCTAGCAAACATATACGTTCGCGGTGCATTATCGTGAATTTGAAACGGCAGCTAACCACCAGCGAGTATTCCTGTTACGAAAACTAGATGAATAATTTAAAGGAAGTCTTGAAGAGACTAAAAAGATGATGAAAATGGTGAACCATATATTATACCGTATCTGTTCTAGAGCCAAAATTAGGTTTATTACTTCCTCGTTCATGATCCATGAAATAGATGGAAAACCTCACGTAAATAATTAATTCATTATGTTTTATTTCCTAATTATGCCTCTCGTATACAGGTTGTCAGACGTTACACTTCCAAGCATATTAATCGAAATGATAATGTCTTCGCAGATTTAAAGGTGGTTGGTGATTTTTTTCGGCCATTCATTGGACTTTGAAGTCTAACTTTGATTCTTCGAACTATTGCAGAGAGACTTTCCTATGACCTTTCTTCCAGGTAAAAGCTAAATTACACAATTCATGCTATTCCCCTCCGTTTATTGATCCAACACCTTTAGCTAAGATCAATATTTAATAGGGAACTTTATATGCTTTGATCAGTTCTCACGGGAATGAATTTTGTTGTGCTATTCAAATTTCATCACTAGATTAACAGGTCATTTTGACAAAGCAACTATTAAGCAAGAAATCAAGCCCCTGAAAGCCAAGTCATTTGGAATCATTAGGATCGTTTCTCAGTCAAGTACTCCGTACGATTTATTGTTTCAGTTTAATGAGATCTTATTTTATAGTCTTATTACTTTGCTAGGTAAAGAATTTCTCGTTATTTCGTATTAGGATTTTAAATTCGCTTATAATCTCGATGTTTATTTAGCATGTTTTGTCAAAAACAATTTAACCTTCAATTTTTTCCGTTTTAATCCATAGTCAAGTATTAAACATTAAAATAATCCTCAGTAACTGCTGTTTACGGACTGAAGAGAACAGTTCCAATGTTGAATAATTCGACAATTTCTTAAAAGATGTTCGTATTTCTGTTCGTTCTACTCTATACCTTATTCTTACTTCACTTCAATATTGGAAGGATGCAATCATGGCTAAAACATGTATCTAATAAACATCAGACTTTCTCTCACTGTTTGTAACTTCATCTTTAGGAGAGATTGTGGAAACCCATTCAATGTTTTGCCACAATGTTATAAAAGTCGAAGTGAAGAAGAGTGGGAATGACTAACTCAACCACTGAATGATGGAAATCTGGAACAGTCTTGTTAGTTTGCACTTTATTGCTAATATAGCTTTTAGCAGCATAAAATTGCATTTGATTCAATTTATTTTCACATGATATACTTCGATTGGAAAATTCATTCTTCGTGTGTTGATCTATGCCGCGCAAAGAATATAAATAATAGCTGTGATTTAAATTCTAAGTGTAATCTAAACTGAAATTAAAATAATTATGGTGTAATTATCGCCGGTAAAACATACTCTGCATGACTAGAAATTGTAAATCAAGCATTATGAAATTTGCCAAAGTGAATGTCGGAAATAGTAATCTTGCTAAAAAGGGTCAATAGCTATGTAACAAAATGAGGACTATTCAGTTGTCCGTAAAATAATTCATTTCGTTCTACCTTTTCCTAAGAATGAGGTAAGGACAACTTATAGTTAATTCAAAATAAGCAAGCTAACACTCATTTAGAAATGAATCAGTACAGATAATAATGACAGAAGAGCAGTGTAAAGCGACAGATTTTGACTCATTAAGGTTAACAAATTTCCATTAGATTTAAAGCTACTAATGTCTTATTTTCTCTTAAAATCATCACTACATCTCTGTTCATTGACCAATCAAGACTTCAAATCTTGTTTGCGAATTAAATCAGCATACTTCCCATCTAGTTCAATAAGCTCCTGATGTGTCCCTTCTTCGACTACTCGTCCATTTTCAACGAAAAATATTTGATTTGCGTGTTGAATGGATGACAGTCTATGTGCAACTATAATACATGTCCGGCCACTACTTACCACATCCAGTGCTGCTTGAACTATCTGAATGATTAGAAACAAGGAGACTGGAAAACTTTCAGGAACATTTAAATATCTTTTATTTCATGCTCTTTATTTCTGATGACTGAAATGGAATAAATTTTGCTTGGCTGATAAAAACGCTTACTCTAACTTTACCTGAATTACTAATTTATTAGGGAAATAATCTCTGTGAAACACTTCTTAAAAGTGTGAAATTTTATGAAAATAGAAGCTAACTTTTGTTAGTCAAAAGAGCAATAAGTTGAAAACTTTTTAACGTTTTCAGGAGACTAAAAAAAAAAGTTGGACTAGAAAAAGTATTTCATACTAACTTTTTCGCTTTCCGCATCCAGTGCACTGGTCGCCTCATCAAGTAACAGTATCTTCGGATTTCGAATTAACGCCCGAGCAATAGCAATGCGTTGCTTTTGACCACCTGACAACTGCCCACCATGTTCACCAACCTCCGTATCATAGCCCTAAATTGATATTTCGACTTTATCAGCGAGGAAATACAATTTGTGTTTTCTATCAGCAGAGCTTCATATTCCTATCTTATGTCTTTCATTATAGCAAAAATTTATAAACAACAAGATTCTTATCACCTGTGGTGAAGCTTCAATGAAATCCACAGCATTAGCTATTTTGCAAGCTTCACGTACGTCATCCATTGTTTTACCAGTCGTACCAAGTAAGATATTTTCTGCTATTGTGCCACTGAACAGTACTGGTTCTTGACTGACCAGTGCCACTTGTTCGCGTAAGTAACGTAGTGATATTTTCGTAATCGAATTATCATCCAAATTCTAAAAATATATTCATGTCATTCTCAGTGAGGTGAAATTGATATCAGTCAAAGTTATGCCAAACTTTGACCTTACGTGCATTGATATCAATTTCAATTGTTATGAAATTAGAGCATATCACAGTAATATCTTCGTTTCTCTTGCTATTAGGGGCCATTTCTGCTTTTCACCACAAAAAAACAGAAATTGTTTCATTTTTAAGGTCTGTGAGCAATCACTGCAATAACAAAATTCAGCTCTATCAAGTCTTTGGGATCTTTAAAAAATTCCAAGTTTATCCAGTCTTCATTAAATTGCAAAATTTTTTCATCGATTATGACAATTTGTGAAAAAAAAATGATAACGTAAGCTGTGATAATAAGCTTACCAGTTGTCCAGAATTAAATTGATAAAAACGCTCCAACAACGCGATTACGGTACTTTTGCCGCTTCCAGATGGTCCAGTGACAGCAATCGTTTGTCCCTTAAATTTCATATGACGAATTTGATAAAGATATTTGTTTTAATAACTGGCTCAATTTCAACTTGAACTGACCGCATAGGCTGTTAAATTAAGACCGTTAAGAACATTTCGTTGCGGCCTTGTTGGATACGAGAAGTGCACCTTCTTAAATTCAACATCACCCATTATTTTCTGAAAATATTTTTTAATTAAAAAGTAGATCCTTGAAATAAAGCCGAACATTTTGGTAATATTTTAAAGTATATTAACAATAATCGAACCATCCATATATATCGAAATAGTTCAGATCTTTTATACATATCGAGATAATTTAGATCTTTTACAAACTTCAGAAATAATCCAATGCTAAAGTTTACCGGACGTGAGCCCTTCTCAATAATGTCAGGTTTTCTTCCGGTATTGATGATCTGGAATAATGAATCGGAAGCTGGTGATGCCATGATAAATGTATTCAAACAGCCGGCAACCATAATTATCGCCCATCCGCTGGTTGAAATTGATATTGCAGCGCTGAAATAGGTATTAATGAAAATAAATGCAATCATTGACACCAATTTTCTCTCACTTCCATTTAGAAACGATGTAAATTATGCAGATAACTGTCATAACTTACATAAAACTTTGTTCTGTGTGGAGCATTAACTATGACAACTTACGTGAAAATTTCATTCGGTGTTGAGTATCCGTAATAGATTAATGCAATGCCAGTTGCATAAGATAACATATCACTGAAGAACAGGAAGGAGGATGCAACGGCAAAAAGTACTGCTTCATATGGGCCACTTTTCTTCTGCACACGCAACAATTCCTGGATTTGTCGGATATATTCCCGATGGAAGTGCTCCTCTCTTGTAATCAGTTGGATTGTTCGTATTTGTTCCACAATTTCGATTGCCAACTATTAAAAAGTTCATTAAAATATACTTTCTCCTCCGTTTTGTTGTGATGATTGCAATTAATTATCACATTTCACAGTATTGAATGACTCCTTCGTAACTCGCCTAATGTTTGAATTAAGTTCTCCAGTCCCACTAGCAGTTAATCCTAGAATGTCTTCTTTCTTTTGCTTATTGTTATTATTAGAATCTAACCACATAAAGTGATAACAAAAGATTCGAAGAAAAACAGTCCCAACAATCAACGATTAACGCAAATTCTTCCACGGATACTCTGATTTCCTCTCATATATCCAATGATAACTTATCTCGACATACTGGACTCTATCATCAGTATCTTTCAAGACAGTTGCGATTGCAAGAATTGCAGAAATTATCGTGAATTGTCATATGCTGAGCTATGAAAAACTTGTTCACTCGACAAACTGATTCCAAATGCGTATGAGTACTGACTATCGGAAAACCCGAGAAGGTATTTAAAGTATTTTTTTGAAGAGTATTTAAAATTTGTGTTTTAAATTGGATTAGTACCGTCAAAACAGTTAGAGTATGTGTATCACAAGTTTATGCCATAAATATTGTCTTATTTAATTCATTTTACCAATAAGTGATTCATTTACACAAAAGTTAAAATTAAATTTCCAACGTATTAAACTCATTAAATTAAATTTGCCCAATTCATCTAATACTGTAATAAAGGATTGTCGCTTTGATAATCAAACTAATTGTAATCTTTGGTTTTTAGTGAGCAGTTGGTCTAACAACCCATCTTATGACATTAATGGGTATATTGTTAAGTACCTAGTCTGATAACGATGTTTATATCCATGGTACATGTTTAGACTATCATTAAATATCACATTCCTTTGTCCAAGAATTAGTCTTTCATGCAATGTATTAGTTTGTCTACCATATCCACTATATAAGGGTTTCCTCGGGCGACTGAAGATAAGTTTTGATACAAGTCTCCGATGTGTGACAAGTCTCCGTCCTACATCTTCTTTCATTTCCACATCTCTATTTTCTATTTTAAACTCCAGTTCAACTGCTCAACACGCTAGATTTTCTTTCGACACTAACAAGAAACCCAACGACGACTATTGCCCACATTCGCTAATAATCTATGAATAATAAATCTGTCACTGTCATCACTAAGCCTTTATCAAAATTCTTGCGTCCATGTCAAGCAATACGACGGAATTTCATCACATTCTCCTCTAACGCAAAGACAAAAAAAATTTCATGACAAGTGACAAGGGAATGAGCTAAGTTTTGGAAAGGAATTGAACTGAAAGCACAAGAAAAACAGCCTACTTGACCGGTAAGATCTTCTTTTATGGCATATTTATTTAGCTTCTGCATTTGACGTGCGATAAGCAACAGCAACATAACGAGTGTCAGGAGATTTCCAGTACCAACAAGGCCAATTTGCCAATTAAATATTACTGCAACAATAATCAGCACAACAATCGCCACAATATTATTCACAATTTGCATCATTCGCGGATCGAGCGCCTTTAAAAAGGGAAGAAATTTTCAGTTTTGTTGAATATTTACAAGAAAATTAATTGTAGCGTTTTTTAAACATTTTGCAACGTTAAGTAAATTAAAACTTATCTGCCTACAAAACGAATAAATTTGGACCAAAATTATGTAAATCAATAGGAAAAAATATATAAATCCTGAATAAAAGCAAGCAGATTACTTGAAAATATTACCGCTTTAATGTTTGGAGCATCAACAGATATTCGTGTAACAGTCACAGCAGGACTTGTAGATGGCGTATCAAAATATGCAGCATCTTGATAAAGCATACTTCGGAATGCTCGAATGCGTAGAAAATCTACAACACATTCTGCTGTCCATCCAAATGAAAACGCCTGTAAAGTTTAGTCGATATTCAAGTTAATAGTAATATTTCATCCTAACAGTCACACTTTAAGATCCATTTGACCTCAACGAAATTAATTAATGGCTAAAAAATAATTCATAAGTCATTGGAAAGCCTTCAAAAGCAGTTTCGACCAAGAAATTTGTCTGGGGCCTGCAAGTTCCAGTTTGCGTATACAAAAGCTTTAAAAATACTTACCGCAACAAAAAGAACAATTATGCATGCAGCGCCCAATACAATATAAATAATTACAACAGGCAAAATTCTTCGCATCATTAATCGCAAATCCGTCTGTGCGAATGCGTCAAATGCAAGATTAAAAATGAGTACGAAAGCTGGCAATTCCATTCCACGAAGCAATGATGCCAATACCGCCAATATCAGCTTTCCGTAATTGCCATTACAGTTCGTGTATAATTGCCATAAACCTTTTGATTTATTTTCTTTCTGCAAAAGTGTTTCATTTTTCAAGACGACATTAAAAGAATTATTTCGAATAAGGCTGTAAAAAGGAGGAAGAAAGAAACCTTCGTGTCGCATCAAATATGACTAATGTTTTTACCAAAATAAGTTCAAAAGTTAATTGATTAATTTTAAAGTAGTATTTATTCCCAGAAGAATGCCTTTGAAGGATAAATAATTATTACCATAAAATCAATCCGTTTTAAATCCCATATTCGAACTACTCATAAACCATGACAGTACGGTGAATCAATGTTATTGATTCGTGAATGCAACAACGGATTTCAAGAGATGTTTCATATTGCGCACATTCCAGACGCATTTTTTCTGTTTAACACTTGCTGTTTGCGCTTCACTTTAATTCTCATATTATCGACGGGTCTATTTGGCAAGTTAGAACAAATTCCATTCATTCATTTCCACACTGTAGAATGTTACAAACAAAAACTGTTGTTTTTGTTTATAACATTTCAATCATTTGAATCTGCTAAGTTTATGGAAATCTATCTAGGCTGTTTGTCCCACTAAATCCAGTTTATTATTAGGCATAAGGTTAGGCAGGATTCTTTGCTTCCTTCCGAATGCAAACACAACACGGGAGAAACACAGTCAGTAGAAGAAGAATAAAAATTGTCATAAGTGAGTCTAACGAAAAAATTGAATTAAGCAAACCTTTCCATTAAGTCCAATAATTTTTTCTGATGGTTCTTTAGTAATTGATGCGCGTTTCATATCACCGCTAATAATACTGCCTCGTGTCATCGATGATAATATACCATAATTTGATGAGTTGCGACTACTTCCAGTACTAAAAAATTCTCACTTTAGATAAATTGACTATTCAGTTGTCAAGTATCTCTGATGTTCTGAAATTTCAACCTCAGTTGTTGTTCATATTAGTATTCTTGGGAACACTGTATGACTTCAAGCTTTTGTAGAAATTTGGAACCACTGAGCTCAAACTGATTAACAAACGGAAAGATTTTACAAGGATCTATGAAATGCTTGTGATGGAAGTTCTTCAACCGTCACAGGTGATATATTCCGCTTTTCCTCAAACTGCTGTGATCTGACCAGTGATGCGTAAATACCATCCTTTCGATTGCAAAGCTCTTTGTGAGTGCCTACAAAATGGCGAAAGTTCACGGAAAAAGCAAGAGAGAATTCGAGTTGGGAATGTTGCGGCATTGCACAAGATCGCTTTGTAGGTAGAAGATTCTTTTGAATCAGAAGTATTTAATTAGCTTTGGCTGGAAACCATTGATTAGAATACCAGTTAAAGCTTAACACATTAATTTTTAACGCAAATATTGCCGATGGGAACAGAAATATCACCAAAATAACCACGGCACTCACCAATTTCAGCGACCTGACCTTTGTCAAGAACGATAATTTGATTAGAATCACGCAATGTTGACAATCGATGCGCAATGACGATTGTTGTACGTCCAATAGATGCCTAGAAAACCTATTGCGTTAGCGTGCAGTGGAACGCATCTATCATTTAATTACTCTTCAAATTATAAGAAAGCAAAAGAAGTAAACAGATCAGCGAAATTGAGATAATGGGTAAATCAATTAAGCTTATAAAGAAAAGCAAACTAAATTATACCAAAAATAAGGAATTTATTAATGAATAATGCTTTAATAATAAGAAAAAAAGAGGAAATTCTTATAGAACCTTTTTAAGGGCATTTTGTACCATTGCTTCACTTTCAGCATCAAGTGCACTGGTAGCTTCATCTAGCAGCAGAATTCTTGGATTCCGAGCTATCGTTCGCGCAATCGCTATTCGTTGTTTTTGCCCACCAGATAGTTGTATACCTCCAGCGCCGATCCTCGTATCGTAACCCTTTCACACATTTTTGTTTCATTTTTAAAACTTTATCCTAGGTTATGCAAAAAGAGGCATTCTACAGTCTATTGCACTTTGCTTACCATTTGTGGAACAGCGAAATTCAATTGTTCCAACAATTTTAATTCATGAAAAATTGAATTTACATTTTACCTCACTTAATTTATCAATAAAATCATGCGCATTCGCAGTTTTGCACGCATCAATGATTTCTTGATCCGTAAGATCAGGATTGCCAAGTAGTATATTTTCCTTAATTGTCCCGGTGAATAACAACGGTTCCTGAATTTGAAAAAAAAAAGAAGAGTGACCAGCGATAAGAGAATGCAATTAACCGCTGACTGAGAAATAGAGAAATTAGCTATTTTGCAATGGACTGAAAGACTTTTTAAAACTGTAATTGTATTTTGCAAAAAAAGACGAACATAAATAGCAGAAACTAAAAATAATCAATAATGATGAAAAAATAATCAATAATGATGAAAAATAATCAATAATGATAATTTTTTCTAAATTAGTTAAATTAATGAAGTGTCGACCTGTTGTACGACGCCAACAACATTTCTCAAACTGTGGATATTGATATCAAGTACGTTAATTTCATCAATCAGGACTGCACCGGAATTACAGGTGTATAGACGAGTTAGTAAACCAATCTAAATTCTTATATGAATAAATGAAAAGAAATCAAGGATAGATGGATGGTACGTGTAGGCGTACGCCAACGTGTTTTGGGAAGGATGTAAGTATGTACACATTCTTTCGTCACATCTATACAGGTCTACAAATTAATGTTAACAGAAATGTTTTTGAACCAACTTAATAAAATGAAATATTAGAGCCCCAGATATCACAGGGCAACAAATTAGCAAGAAGTACTTAACGAACTAACAGATGTACTTTTACCGCATCCACTATGACCCACAAGTGCTACCGTATCACCCGGTTTTGCTATCCATGATAATCCATTGAGAACCAGGTGTTCTTTGCTTGTTAGGTATGAAAATTTAACGTTTCGAAATTCTACTAAACCTTTCACTTCGTTCAGCTTTATGCTATTTGTTGAACTAGAATCAGTAGATGATTTCTGAAATTTAAAATTAAGCTGAATCTTTTAATAAATACTCAGCTGTTAATTTTCATTATCAATAAGGAATGCATCAAGAAATCATTAAAATTACAATTAGTACTACGAAAATAAATGCAAAATTAATTATCAAGAAAATGCAAGAAGATATTATCTTTTAAATTCCAATTTAACACCAGAATTTGGCTAATCATAAATACACGGTGTATAATTTGCAATAATATTCTTTTTCTCCATTCCCCAAACCTTTCAGTAATTTTCCTCTTCATTTAACTTCTGAATGTTATTTATCATAATGACGCTTGACTTTAAAAAGACAAAATTAAAAGCTTTAGAGAAGACAGAATGATTCCTCTACTGGAAGTACTTTGTTAAGTCAAAAATTCGAGCATTACAAATTCGTGACGGAGTAAAATACGTAGTGAGTTAGTGTGGTGAACCTTGCAGGTAAAGTTTATTTTGTAATTAAGGTGGTCTGTTACTCACAAATGTATTAGCAAACAGAAATAGTGAAAAGAGAAAGTTAACTTACTCGGTCGATTATTTTGTAGATAACAGCTGCGGCAACTCGTGCATTAAGTACAGCCATCAGGTGTGGGCTAAGTACACCAAGGTAGTAGGAACCGAACATAATCACATTTGCAACAGTAAATATAAATCCTGGATTAGTAACTGTACGAATTTGATACAAATAGGCACCATAGCTGCGGAAGAAAGTAAAACATATCAAAAAAATGTTTTGACAAAAATGAAGAATCCCCGATTTTACATTTTTGAACAAATGTTAGCTTTAAATGATATTCGAATTTATTTTCTCAAGTCTCGAAATTTCGATTTTAGATTTATTCAGGAAGTTAGACAGTTATTGCCGATGCACTTTTAATAATGATCACTTCAAAAAAAAAAGGAAAAAAAACTAGATTTTGATAGGAAGTGGTGGCGATTAATCTTACAGAACTTATAAATAAGCAGTTTGAGAATATCAAATAGTTTTATGCTGGGATACATAAAATTCAGACAAATACAAATGAATAAAACATTATAAATTTGAGGTGATACATTGCTAGAAAGAAGGGGATGAGAACTGTTTGAAATTGAGCAAAATTTAACTTTTTATTGAATGGAACTTACTAGAAGCCAGCAGCGAAGAAAAAATATAAAACGAAGAAGAAGAGACCGTCGAAAAAACCTGCGAACGCATAGGCGCGCAATGCAAATTTACGACAGACTTTCAGTGCTGCAGCGTATCGTCCGATCATTGTTTCCTGTGCATTACATGCAGCTACTGTTTTCACATTGATGATCGATTCTTCGAGAATTGCTGCAGCACGACCATCAGCGTTGATTTGCGGGCCACTTGAACGTTCTACTTGCTGCAAGGACCCAGAAGATAATAATTAGTTGTTAAGCAAAAATTCCAAGAAAAATTAGTCGATCGGTATTTCTACCATTGTATATAGATCTTTTCGAATTTGTTTCAGATATCTTGAAGAACATTTACGAGCTACTGAAAGCGTACTCGAGCCATGATAGACAGAAGCGCAGCAGAAGCAGGTCCCATGCCAAGCATTACCAAGGTTATCCGCCATTCATAGATGAATCCGATGACTAGAGAAGTCAAAAACATTGCTACACCACGTATTATCATGCCTACTTTATCACTGATACCATCCTTAATTTTCTCTATATTTCTGAAATTGAATCATTTGCTTTCCGGATGGCTGAGAAAGAAGACATGAAGGAACTCTGTTTTAGTCCACGTTAACAAATGGGAAAATAGGGATTTGCTGTAGAATAATAATAGTTACGCATTAAGTTGGGCAGTCAATGTACCACTCTTTTGTTGATCCAACCATGTCGCATCTTGGCGCAATAATGATTTCATATATTCTTGTCGCATAGTGCATGTTATATTTAAAGATGCATTTTTCAAGCAGATATACTGAAATTGTCAAGGACAGCAATGAACTGATATTGTTTTAAGTCAACAGTTTGACAGATTCAAGATTAAAATTAAAGTCGTCCAAGTTTCGGACCGATCTATCATGTTATTCCACTATACAGCGATACTTTCTTTTGAGAAATGGAAGTTCAAAGTTTAGTTTCTTGGAAATTAAAAAAACTTCAATAAAATAAATGAAGTAAGATGAAATGAACCTGTGTAATGGTGACAATAACCATTGAGACTCCGACTGATGCATAAAGATAAATATATACATAAGCCTGATACCAAAACGCGTCAGATTTTTCAAACTGTAAATTTTTCAAATTTTAGATAGATTAAATTGTTCGATTTACTCTCTTTTTCGGGTAAGAAGTAATACTAGCATAAATGTTTTGGCAAGAAATTAAAGGCTTGAAGCCACGATCGAATACTAAATGACAAATGAAAAATCTCTAGATGAGGTTTGCTGGATGGATTCGGAAAGTATGAACAGGCAGAAAAATGGATGCAAAACGCACATTTTTTGTGAGCAATAAAATATTTGTTAATTCACCACCAATCAAACAGACCGTCGGTTGACCTATACCTGAAAGTACAGCCAAGAAGACGCCAACTGCTATCATAAACCGATCGTATGTTGTAGCGAATCGAAACTGGAGATAATAACAAATTCAGCTGAGCTTATTTGACATGAAAAGTAGTTTAAATAAATTTGTATGAAATTTCTGGACAAAAAAAAGTTTATTAAATACTTGTAAAGGGAGAAGTAAACAGAAATACCAGTTGAAAAAATGAAACCGGTTTTGCATCAAGTTTTTGCCTGGCTAAATCACCCCTGAAAATAATTTCAGCTTTTAAAATACCCCCAAATCTTCGCTAATTTCAAATGCATTCAGGAAAAAATTAGCATGATTAGCGACAGAGCAGCAGTAATCTTTCCAGATCAAGAAATACATTTTTCACTCTAAAACATTTGTGATTAAACTGTTTTTTTTCCACTTATTGATTTTTATCAACACACCACTTGATACCTGCATAAAATGATGCTGATAAATTTATCCATAACACTTTGTTCATATCGCTCGCTAAATGCATTCGAGAATTCATCACCAGTTTCCAGCACTGTCATCCTTTCAAGATTTTATTTATTCAGCAGCCGAACACGCAAATTATGAGAGAGTAATTTGAGAGATAACTGAAATTTTTTGTTGGAAAATTTCTGCATGTGAATTTGAAAAATATCCAACATCTGTTAATTATAAGCATCAATAAGAGATTTGAAAATTTACGTAAATATGGATATGAAATGGATTTAAAATAGACCAATTGCGATATTTTAAGGTATGATCTTCCAACAAGACATAGCTCCTTTAATTTTAACTTTTTTGAAATCGCTGGATTATCCAGGATATATCTTAAGAAAATTCAGAAATGAAAAAGGACGTAATTTAAGAGCAGTTGTAAGACGGACCGTATTGGTGGAATGATCAAAGATTTAAATATGTGTTAAACGACAACGAATTGATAATTAATGAAGAGAAAGTTAAACAAGTAATGGATAATTGAGGATCAGTGTAAAGAATGAAGTTCGATGTTTACACAAATGGCATGAATCGATCAAAGTCAAAAAATGAAGTTTATTACAACTCTAATTTTGTAAAGAAACATTAAACATTTTTCATGCAATGTAATAGAGAAAAATTGGTCATTTTTCTGCAAAATGTATGCATTTTATTTCTCGAAAAGTAAGAAATTTACACTGATTATAAACTCCGTGCACTTCACATGTCGTCACATGCAAAGGGATGATTGATTTTTTATTGATCACTTAAATGGTTGTTGATTTGATTCATGTCGTGGTATGTTTTTTACGGTTTGTCAAGTTCCAAAATTTGTATGTTTATGATAATGATAATGATAGAAGTTATGAGTCTATAGAATTGTGAGAATGTGCAATACCTTTTATGAATAGATCTGATAATATCGATCGTTCTTTATTTGATAAAAAACCTAAATTAAAAGTCACAAAAAATATGTGGAAGAACATGCCTGGCTGGAAAGAAAGATTTAAAAGGAATTGAGGCTTGGCTAAAGGTCGAACAGAATTTTGCGCAGATTTCTCAGCATTGTAAGGAGTGGCCAAATAATAATTATTATTACTATCATTATTATTATTATCATACTATCATTATTGTTATTAACATTATCTTTTATTTATATGCAATCATTATTAAATATAAAGCTGTAGATATACATAATTATATAAATATTTTAAGTAATATAACCATAATTAGTAATGAGAAGATATTATCAAATGATTGTATATTCTCAAATTATTAAATATTTTCTATCCTTTTATTATTCAGTAAAAGAAAAGAAT